CAACACAACCAAAGACAATACAACCAAATCAAGACACCACAACCAAATCAAGACACCATAACTAAATCAAGACACCACAACCAAATCAAGACACCATAACTAAATCAAGACAACACAACCAAATCAAGACACCATAACCAAAGACAACACAACCAAATCAAGACAACATAACCTAATTATTATTGATGATAATGGTAATGACGATGGTTTTTGTTTGATAAACATGATTTTAAGATGGTTTCAATGCTGTTTGAGCTCCCAAGAACAGCTGTCAATGTTGTGCTTTGCCTCTGTGCACTGCCTGTAAGCAATAGTGTCCGATCTGACTTAAAGCTGTTCATTTGCACTTACTGACATGGTTTTCCTTCTCTCTAGATCTTCGCTTTTGTTTTACTTACTCTCTGATGTACGTTGCTTTGGTTAAAAGTGTCTGCTAAATAAATTGTAGAATTGTAGAAATGCATTCAGCACAATCAAATACAGCAAAATAAAGGCAAGGCAACAAAAAGTAGACAATACTGACACAATAACCACATGCAGCCAATACATCAAAATGCAAGGACAAGGCATTACCATCTACAGGCAATCCAGCCACAGACAATAGAACATAGCTAAATGTATTTTTAAACAAAAAAGTTGTGTGTTTGGTTATATGCTGTCATTTGTCTTAGAATAGATTATATGAATGGAGAATCCGAAGCGGGCTGTAATCTTTGGAGGCAGGGCAATGTTGATCAGACGCTAAATGCTCATCAGACTAAAGCCAGTGGGTGTACAATTCAAATGCATTAACAGAAATGCTTTTTAATTTTCAGAATATGAGTGTATTATTTGACTCAAAAATACAATTTTGATTAATTTATCTGATTTGAATTTTAGTTTTCAACTTCAAAAATGCACATTCTTTGACTAAATTAAAATAAGGAAGAAAATGACATTTGCTTTATCATTTTCAAAAAATGCCTCACTAAATCTGTATCATAATTCAAATGAAAAAGCTAATTTTAAAATGAAAATACAGTAACAGAAACACGTTTTAATTTTCAGAATATAGGTGCATTATTTGACCTTTATTTAAAATGAATATTCAGTCATCCAGTTTGCATTATACTTTTACTCTTTATGTATGCATATTGTATGACATCATTCAAATGAAAACTAAAAGGTCTTTGGCTTTTCGTTTTTAAACTTGCCGTGCTAAAAAGTGATCATAATTCAAACCAACTCAAAAACGAATTGGCAAAGTGGACGACGCAGGAAAGTGACGTCAGACTCCCGCTACCAGGCAGGTGAACGTAATATTTACAGTCTATGAGGCGAGTGGGCAGAACGCGCACTACGATGGGTGGCGGGGTGAATCTTTTCCTATTTTTGTTTTTTGGTAAGATGCATAAAACATCCAAAAAAAAGTTATTTTGCAGTAAAATATTTTTATACAACTATCCGTTTCATAAACTAGACATGTTCAAGTTATGAAAAAATATGGTTGTGCTTTGTTCTACCTTGGGTAGGGGTCTCTCAACTTTTAGGGGCCCAGGTTCGTCTACTATTTAGCGTTAGCTTGTAAACCAGTCGGCTAACTGTACTCAGTGGAGCCCATTATTTACGGTCAATGGTTTAAAAATGTTTGTTGTTGAAAATAATGAGTTTGTGTGATGTTAGAAGCTGAAGATTCATCTCGGTGGTTAACGGCAGACTGTAAATATGGTTATCTGACGATATGATGAATGTTATACTCCACGTAAATGTGGACATTAAAAAACAAACTTTGTGTAGTAATTATCCGTCAGTACTTAACATAAACTTAACTCAACTGAACCTAATGTGCTGTGTAGGTTATAGAGGATGACATTAACGTTACATGGTTGATGTAATGTCTTAAGATTTGTGCAAACTGTTACCAAATTAAAAACAAATTCATTTTGTATGAGTTCAGGGAAATGTAATATGGTTATTAATATAGTTCTTAATCATTACAGATGCTCTTACAAAGAATATAGCAGTAGATATATAAAATATAAATAACATATGGAATGAAAATAAGATATAAAGCAATTAGTACAATAAATAGTTTGAAGAATACAGCCATGTACCGAGCTCATGTTAATAACAGATGAGCTACTGTATGTTCTGTACTAAAGCACAGAGAGTTGGGACCTGTTAATGATTTAAATAATTCAGGTTATATTTGTTTCATGTTAAGATGAAGTACTAGCCACAATAAATTGCTTTGTCTTTCCTCTCACAAAATCTGAGACAATTTGATGTGGAATATCATTGTGCAAGTGAGAGAGCTGAAAACAGCATGATTACAAGGTTTATCTTCTTAACTTTGAATAGATGTTGATTACCTGAATACTGTACCTTTGTTGTCTGGGTAGTACACTGTTGAATTTATAAATGTACTCTTACACACAGATGAATACAGAAAAATAGATGAGAACAAAAAAAAATGATTTAATGAATAACTGATATTTTCTCTCTTTCTTTGCCATCCTAAAGTCCATGTTCTCCTGGATCCATGTCACATGTTCAAGCTTCTTCAGAATTACATTTCAACAGTCCAAGTTCTGCTGAGAGAAGATGGCCAGCAGATAAGACGGCAGTACATCAACGAGCTCGACAGGCTTCAGGAGGAGGAGGAGGAGGGTTTGCACCTTGAAAGACTGTATTCATGCTTCAGCTGTTCAAATAAAAATAGATCTCCTCCAAACAACTTGAAATCAAACCGTTTTGTTCCCATTTTAAAAAACTTTGTCCAGTTTAGATAGGAGAAGTTGATATTATGTGATATTGATCAGGGAAGACTACATTTCTAAATAATTTTTATTCACAAGTTATTGATCTTATTTACTCTCCATGTATCTCGATTTAAGAATGGGGCTGTGTTTAAGGGCATATTTTTGCAATGACTCTGTTCCATCCCACTTTCAGAAATGAACTACATTAGTATTTATCAAAAGAATAAGAAGTTGTGTAAAAGTAGACTTCCTTCCCTTAGCTATTGAGTTGAGCACTCATAAGTAGAGACAAAGGAGTGCATTTATATAGAAATATTTATTTAATCTGAAAAACCACATTCAAAAAGCCTGTTTTTACAGCAGAGATGAACATGTTTACAGCTTGGTACAAAACAAACAAATAGGTGTGATTAGCTCATGTCTCGATCGACACACACTGTACGGGGGTCATTTGATTTGATGAAGGATAAGAGTTATACAATAAGGCGTGTAGCTGACCAGCTTGACAGGCGGGTGCGGTGTAACGGTTTGTCAGGAGGTTTAAAACCCGTCTCAGCTCTCAGTCTGTGGGTGACATCACTCAGGCCATCCGGGGGAGACCTCCCTCACAGCGAGTTGTTGAAAAGAAGCAACCGAAGTCCACCCCAGAAGAACCAACAAATACAGATGTTGTTGAGGCTCAGGTTTCTTCCTCTGTCTCTGCAGCTCTCTGGGCAACTCGATGGACCAGTCACCAATAATCCACACTGTGTCTATAGGAGAAATACAAAGGTGTTCAATTAATGCCTCAGACAAGACAAAATGTACAGTTAACTACATGTGACAGCTCAGGGTGTTTTTGTTATTAGCCACATCTGCAGGAATAATATTGAACAAGGTAGCTGCAACTCATCATAATAGATGCCAGTCTTAAACATAATTTTTTCTAATACTTAAAGTTTTTGGTGTGAAGCTGACACTGTCCACAGACTCCATGACTTCACGGGGTTCTATAGAAAACAAATATCTTATATTAAATACTATATAATTATTTTTCAATTGTCATGTTCACCGTCATCGCTGTTGACATCAGTAACTATAAGACACAGACATTCCTCTTTTTGTCAGAACATGAACTGTATGCTTTGTAATATTGATTTCTTCTGGATGTCTCATTTATTTACAGTCTATGGATAAAACTTTGTTAATGTATTGCTCTGCTAACACTGACAAAGTCTAACTGCTCTGACAAATAACTAATAACCATGATTGTATATTTAAAAAAGTGTAGTTCTAAGACTTTAATTAAATATTTGGGTTGAATATAATTCGTAAGTGTGTTGTAGAAAAGTTAAATGTTAACTTACTGTTTATAGAGTTTTCTCAGGACGAGCAGGAAAGTCGTAGGGGATGCTAGCAGCCTAGCCGTTAGCTGTGCTGTCAAGCGGACTGCTAACGACGAGCTGAACGGGCGGAGTTAAGTCCCGCCTTACTGCTGTTGCTAGATTGATCCGAAGTTAGGTTGAGACTGCAAATCCAATATGGATGCGGCCCTCGATTGGACTCATTTGCTGCCTATGTAACAGACGGGTCAGGGTTCGTCCAGTAACATTTACAGTCTATGCTTTATGCACAGCATAAGTCTAGACTCCACCTAGTGGTCAGTGTCGGAATTACACCCAAATACAAATGTGCAGTGTTGTGTTGGGGTGGGGTTTCTTGCAAGGATCAAATAAAACAAGCACTTTGGCTCCTAAAGTATGTATTTGATCACAATTTGAAAGACTTCATTTACTGACTGTTAGAGAAGATGTCTGATTTTGAAGTTTCAGTGAATGTTTAACAATAACGGTTAAAGGTCGGACTCTCGAGTGTCAAACCTGCTCTCTTAATAAGTTCCACATTATTTTCATGACTCAGCTATAAGCAGCTCTGTAATCCAACCTGTAGAAGCTCAAAGTGTAGTATTCATTAAGACTAAGAAGATGTTACCTACAGAGCCAGGCCTCCTCATCTTATTCCTATTGGCTGTCAGTCTGCATGTCAGCAGGCCCCGGCTGTGTCACATCTTGTTTAGGGGCCATGATTGACCTAGTTGTTGAAGAGCCCAGGAGGGACCGTCAGAAGCACACTACACATCATACAGACATGATATGGATCAGAAGAATGTGGATGAAGCAAGATGAGCAAATGGAAGGAAACTCTGCCTAGTTTTTAGTGATGCACTTCTTCCCTTCTGAGAAATGGATTTGAATAAAAGTATGAATTTAAAGAAAAGAGTACTTGTTGATATGTTTTATTCAGATTTATTCCAGACTGGAACAACTCAAAAAAGGAAGACGGGTTATGCTGAATTTGAAGACTCTTTCTTTCAGTCGATGAAGTGTGATTGAGGTGTATCATGACTGATTATGACTATCACATATTTTCTCACTACATGTGGATACTGGTAAATACATTTCATAATGTCATAATTAATCTAAGCCCATAAGCTTTCTTTGGACCTTTATTTGTCACTTTGTTTCAAATCTGATGCTGCACTTGAACTTTATAATGTTGGAGAATTAAATATAAGTACATTTTTTTTTTTTTAACTGTGTGCAATAAAACAGGAATTGAAAAGGTGCACACACGCACGCACGCACACACGATGTGAAACAGATCCAGAGAAGGAGTCCAGGTGAAAATAAAGACAGCCTTTTATTAATCCTCAAAGCTGTGTGAAGTCCCACCTGTAACGTCCAACACATCACAGGCTCAGTGATCCTGAATCATGTCCTCGTTCGGTGGTGAACTCAGCAGTTCCTGGATCCTTTGCATGTCCTTACTGGTTTCCTCCGCCTGAGAGCTGGTATTCAAATCTCCAATCAGCTCATCTGTCAACTGCAGACGAGCTTCCCTACAGAACGACAGCAGGAGAGTTAGGCCCTTTTTCAAACCGGCCACTACACCCTCTACCTACCCACTACCCCTCCGTTTGCACATCCCCGCGGAGGGTCCGCCATATTAAGTCCATCCCAAACCAACTAGCGGGGAGTGGTAGTGGGTTATAAAACCCTCCACCAGCGAGTGTGCACCGCTGCCGACTTTCGGATCACGTGCAACACCTAGTGTGTCCGGTCGTCATGGAGACAGCAACCTGTGAGTTCAAGTGTCTATAAACACTGCTCCAACTAAGATAGACATTTAATATCCTCATACAGATGTTAACAACTTCAAATGTGTACTGAGGACCAAATATATGTTTATTTATTGTAAAGTGTTTTATATTTACAGGGACTGTTGCAAAAACAAAATAATATTAAATCATGTTGCTGTTAATATTTATTTTTCTACTTTTGATGTCTTTGTAAAATCTCAATTCAACAATAAAAAATACACTTTTTGCTGCTCTGATGTTCAACAATAGTCTCCTTGTCTTTGCATTAATTTAGGACACCCTGTTCTATGAAATTACAATAACTTAGCTGAAATTACAAATTACAGTAAACAATGTAGGCTCAATCTAATAGTTTTATTGTAAGTCTACACTAATATAACTAAAGAAGAAGAAGAATCTAGGCTACATAAATATTTTTACAGAATGCATTAGCTACAAAAAAAAAGCCATTCCCGCAAGATACCGCTGAGTTACCATGGTAACACACAGTTCCTGTTTCCACCTCAGAGAGGCAAGTTTTTCCCAAAGCCTGCCGCTGTATTTCTACCCTACACCTTGATGAAGGAGACTTCATTCAGCTGCGAGTGTGACTTCTAACGGAGTGCACTCCGTCATGGAGGGGGAGGGTGTAGGGGTTGGTTTGAAAAAGGGCCTGACAGGTGAAGTCAGACATGTTTAAAAACAAAATGAAAAAGCCCTTAACCCTTCCATCATCTCACCATTCTGCTAGTCTGAGATCATAGAGCTCACTGCGCTCCCTCCTCCTCCTCTCTATGGCGCTTTCTCCTCCCAAAGACTGCATGCTGATGATCAATGCACCGCTGGGAATCCTAAGCACAAAGCAAATATTACAAACAGTACTTATTTCTTTATATGTTTAAAAGCTCAGTACGTTGTGAAACATGTATTAAATATATGAATCCATTTTAAGACGATTTAATGGAAGTTTTTGAGACAAATGGGTTTTAAAGGGGTATTTAAACATACCTGCTTGCTATTTTTAGTTGCAGAACTCTTCAAAGCTTTTGCACCACTCGGACAAGTTAAGAGTCAGCTGTGTCTCAGCTGTCTCTCACAGAGTCACCCCCTCCTCTGCAGGCCCAAACCTTTGAGTCACACCTCTATGTACGCTTAAAGAGGGTAATCTCTAGAGCATGATGTGCTTTCATTTTTATCCTCTGCTGCCCTGACTGCACCTGGACTGTTTGCACACATCACATGCTCCAAGTGGCTGCTCCCTGATGCAGAGAGTGAAGAGGAGGCAGTGCTTGTACGGGGCCAACAGGAGGAGAGGCCAGGGGCTGAGCCAACCTGGAGGTGACGCTCACAGAGGCGATCCAAACCAGCGCCTCTGCTCTTATTCACAATCAAAAACCTCACACTCAATCTCCATTACACCATCAAATTCAACAACTGCACTTTGGCTCTGTGCGCTCACATGAAGTGTGTAAAGGGGGACAGAGTGAGTCCGGATCACATCATGGAGATGACAGAGGTGGTAGAAATGCACAGGGGGCAGCTTCTGAGTTCGCCCCGCCTCCTCGCTCATGGCCCCTCTGCAGCACACATGAGTCCCTCTGGCACAGTGAACAGAATAAGAGGTCGGGCGGTGTGTGTGTGTGTGGGGGGGGGTTCAGCTGGGCAACAGAGGGTTGCTGGGAGGGGCACAGCTGGCTGCCAGAGTGCTCACTGCAGCACTCAAGCACGAGACCGAACAAGGACGCACACACAGAGGTTTGAACAAATGTGTGTGTTCAAAATAAATCCACAACAGGGCTCAAACTGTGTGTAGGATTTAAACAAAGAGATGAGTAGCTGTTCAAAATAGATGTGACTGGTTAGAGTGTGTGTGGAAGCAGAAGCCAAACTCACCCCAGCACTGCCCCGATGATCGTCCCTGCCACCAGACCTCCCAGACCCAGGTTCAGCCTGAAGAGTCCTCCAGTCACAGCTATACACACACACACACACGCACACACGCACACACGCACACACGCACACACGCACACACGCGCACACACACACACACACCATTTATAGCTCAGTGTCCTGGCATGTGCACTGCGTGTGCTGGAACATTAGTCGAAGGGTTAAACAAGGATAAGAAGAGTTCTAACACGAACGTCAAAGCAGGAGTTTTACAAACAGTACAGAGCTCAACTGTCCTGCTCAACTACTCAAACAGTTCCTCAGACATCAGTTTAATTTACTACCCTCTTAAGTCACTAAGGACAAAAATGTCCACTTCCAAAAAACTGCTATAAAATAGAACAGATTGATATTATTTTCTACTTTTTTCTGCATAAATCTCTTGAACAACTTCCGCCCTGCTCAAAACTACCAAACATTCAATCATTTTTAGGAATTTAACCCTTTAAATGCCAGTTTGATAACATGATTCTGCCATTTAAATTGTTAAATTCATGATAAATACTCAATATTTTATAGTTTTGAGCAGGGCTGGAGTTGTTTAAGAGATTTATGCAAAAATAAAGTAGAAAAAAATATCAATCTGTTCTATTTTTATCAGAGGTGTGGACTCGAGTCACATGACTTGGACTCGAGTCACAGATTTGATGACTTTGGACTCAACAAAATCATGAAAGACTTGCAACTCGACTTGGACTTCAACACCAATGACTTGGGACTTCCCTTGGACTTGAGCCTAATGACTTGAAAATACTTGAGGTTTTAATGTTGTTTTAGGTCCCATATATAATTTCTGCAATGCGCAAAACACGGACGGAACACAGAGTTTTACAATGAAAATACAATCAACTGTGAACAGAATATCGTGGGATTTGCCTCAATGTGGGTGTGATTTATTAAAAACCCTACGTTTTTATACCATGTGTTTTTATAAAATATATATGAGGAGTTTTACGCACGTTTGGTGTACCTGCAGCTTCTCGCTGCTGCTCCTCATATGTTTACATGTTGCAGGTGCAAGCTGACACAAACACACACCCACGCAAAATAAATAAAGGCGAGTTAATTTATATCTAAAAATGTCTCAGTTTCATGACATGATCTAATAAAATGAACCAAATCAGAGATCTGATCCAATGGAACATAACATCAAACACAGAATTCAGTCAAACAAAAATGGAAAAAACAGAATTTAGGAAAAATAAACAAAACAGAGTCAGTCGCACTGGTACTGTTATTTTATTTTAAGAAGTAGGCTAAATAAAATCATATAAGCAATCATGATTTGTGTAACTGTAACAAATTATTACTCTGTGAAAATGGCATTTCATTTGGTGAAGAGAGCTAATGACTTGTTTAGGACTCGAAATTCAAAGGTTAGGACTTGTGACTCGACTTGAGACTTGCCTGTCTTTACTTGGGACTTGAGACCAAAGACTTGAGACTTACTTGTGATTTGCAAAGCAATTACTTTGTCCCACCTCTGATTTTTATAGCATTTTTTGTAAATTGGACATTTTCGCCCTCCAATGTCCAAACAGGGAACTACATTTTAAATCTGATGCTACACAAAAACTAACAATGCATCAAAGTCAATATTTTGGATAATCTTTGACATATCCCCCAGCCACCAAATATTTGTTAGATGGAAAATAACTCATTTTTGTGTTTTTTTCATAAATAACAACAGTGAGATCAAGTAATCAAACTGGCATTTAAAGGGTTAAATTCCTAAAAATGATTTAATATTTGATAGTTTTGAGCAGGGCTGAAGTTGTTTAAGAGATGTATGCAGAAAAAAAAAATATCAATCTGTTCTATTTTTATAGCAGAAAAATGCAAAAAAGAAAAGAAAATGTGTACATGAAACCAACAGGTCCAATCACAGCTGAAAGGCTTTATCAGGTTTTTGGTTTCAAAGTGTGTTTGATCGGGCCGTGTTGAAGACTGTGTGACTCACCTCCAGCAGCGGCATAATGACTGATGTCGTTCTTGTCTCTGTACACAGAAAGTCCTGTGCTAACAGAACTAGAGAGGGAGGAGACAGATGAGGGAAAAATATATATGATTACAAAATGTGATAATAATGTTGTGATGATCCCTAAAAAAACAAGTTATTAGAATAAAGAGCCACACAGAGTTCAGTTCATCTGAGCTGGTTCAGAAGAAAAGCCCTCCATCTAATGCTAGTTATTTATAAAACAAGTGAAATGCCTCCTTACAAACAGTAAAAGTCAATCATGTTATACTGAAGTCATGTGGCTTATTCTGTTTGTTGTCTTACTTGAACAAGGTGACAAAAGCAGCCACTCTCCAGCTCCATCTCCAGCCGTATCTGACAAAGCCCCGGATCGCTGCGTTGTGAGCAGAGCGCTAAACGAGAAGAGAAACAGAACCGAGAGGAAGTCATCTTAATTACAGCACAAAGACACTGATCATTGTCACATTCATTTGGATTATTTCAGATTATCCAGCCAGTTTCTGTGTTTCTTTTCGTTACATCTTTTTTCTAATGTAACTCTAAAGTTTAGGGCACACAGTTGATTTTCAGTCATTCACACACTCACCACTGCGTCCACTCTGCTCGTATAGATTTCCGCCTGGCTGCTCTGGATATACCTCTCCCTGGCGTGGCGAGCTGCTGGCAGGCCGCCGTAGATCAGGCCGGCGAGTGCGGCCACAAGGCCGCCCTTAATCACGTTGGTCAGCTCCTCTGGGTATTTATGTGTCGCTCTGCAGAGAGACAGGATCCAAACTCAGTGACATTTCATTCAATTAACATCAACGCATATAAAAAAAAAAAACCGCGCACCCTAACCATTACGCCACCAGCGCGCCCCTTCACTGCACATCTGTATGAGCACGTGACAAATACAAATTTTGAACTCTGCCTCTTCTATGGCTCCCTCTGGTGGTGAAAAGATGACTTTGTTATGTGTCTCTTATTGTTGTTGTCTACAATAACTATTTAATAATTTCTTCATTTAAATGCCATGGGGAAAAAATCTGCAAAGTTACTTAAAAGCTCCATCTTAGTTTCCCTATCCTCTAGATGTCACCTTTAAATTGAATATTGTATTTAAAACATTTTTATTCCAAAGATGATTGATTATTATTACATTCATTATTAGAACAGATGCCAATCAGCTTCCTGTTGAAATACTAATCAAGCATCAGTTTAGCTGATCTTTTTTTAAATATCCTCTAACCATTAAGAACTTTGCAGTAAACTCCTCTGGCCACCTTGGTTTAGAAATCCTAACATTACAAACATTAGAAAGATAAATGGTCTCAAAAACAGACAAGGGGCATTTAAAAAAACAATACACATAAAACAGTTGAGACATAAATGTTACATCCAGGTTTGGAATATAAATTGATTTAGTTAGACAGTTGTTTCAGCTCTTATTTGGACAATCCCTTGTCTAATTATGCACAGCCACATTTAGCAACATTTAATGAAATGTATGCAGCACAGAGGACAAACTGTTGCTTTTCTCTAACAGATCTTTTTAAAGTCATAAAAACTTTAATTAGAAGAAACAAGAATACTAACTCTCTGTCAAAGAGGTCCTTGATGCGTTCCCATCCTGTGTCTGGGAACTCTGGCTTGCCCACATTGCTTGGCAGGGTGCTGGAAGAGGGGAGGGGTGCAGGAGATGAACTGGTAGAGGGGGAGGAGGGGGAAAAAGAGGGCATCTGTGTCGGCTGGGAAGCAGCCACATCAGCTGCATGCACCCTGGGGAGAAAGAAGCAGAAGGAACGAGGCCTGGCATTCTGGATGAGGCCCTGCAGAAGGCCAGTGCTCAGAGTGCCCCAAGGGGCTAAATCTGCTCGACGTCTCTGCAGGGCACGGCCTGCTCTGCGCTCCTCTGGATGCATCACGCTTCAGCTGGCATCAGGGCTGCGGCAAGAGAGGCAGAAACACATGGCCATGGGTTTTGGATGTTGCGCTCACTGCCTTGACTTTAAGCTCCATCCTCAAATGTAACAGCCTTAAGGCGAGTGGATTCCTGGTAGGGCTTACACTGGCTGGCCATCTCAGCAGATGTTAAATGTTGCACACAAGCAGACTTTCAGGGATGATTATTTCAGTCTTAGAAATCTGCAAGTAGTCATATAGAAAGGGGATGCTGAAGATTCATTATGTTTATATATTTTGTGTCCAACACGTTGTTTAAGACAACTCAACAATAACATGCCGCTGTATTCCCTCCCTTTAATGTGACGCCTGTGAATGGCTGACACTCTAAACTAGAGCATATCAGTTCATTTCCAAAGACTGACAGCACATGTTTAATTGTAATAATCTGTTGCTCCATACTTTCGTCAAGACCCCAAATTGCAGCTCACAGCCTTCAGTGTGTCGTGTGAACCATTAGCATGTTTCACACTATGTTAAGGTATATTACAGTATTATGGCAGGTGTCTAACTTGTGTTTGCTTAAATTAGCATTTGTCAATAAACCAGTGTTTTCTCCTAGGTTATTTAGAACATAGTTTCCACCTTAACAAATGACAATATGAGAATATCCTCCGTAGCCTCTGCTGATGTCAACCTGCTCCGAGTTAGTAATTTAGCATAACACTTCACTTATCTTGATTAGATACACCTGGATTACCTCGGTTAAGTCTTACCACTCGTATTCCTCTTTTTGACAAATGTACCAGTTTACGTCACATTGTTAATGTAGAACAAACGCTTTCCAGTAGTCTGTTTACATGCCGTTATAAGTTACAAGAATAATCGTGTTTGTCCGATAATAGGAGCTATGTGGTTAGCACTTAGCATGCTAGCTTCTCGTGTAACTTAGAAAAGGCAGCTTACCAGCGAGCGGCGCGTGCGTCCTGAAGAAGGCAGTTTGTTTGAAGAGAATTCGCTAAAACTAATTATTTGTACTCAGTCTATGTATCTGTTTTACATAATTGCCCTTCTGCTGTGTGGACTTTCTTGACTTTAAGACAGCCCACCGGCTTTCCAACCTTTGACACAAGGTAGAAGAGAAGAGTAAACAGCTTCAAGGATCAAGGTAAACACAGCGCCGCCTGTCGGTGGGAGGACTTAGCAAATTACACTTCATGTCCAAATGTAAAGGCACTAACGGTGGGGAAGCTGATATGTAAAAAAAAAAAGTAAATTCATACATTTGAGTTAAGTTAAAAATAAGTTAACATTTATACAGTAAACTATTTACATATTTGAGTTTACGAAGTTAATATTGATATATTTACATGTTTTAATATTGCAGTAGCACGTAGTAACGTCATAATGTCAGGTCATAACCTCTGATTGGCTAACGACGGGACATGTGATGAGTAACGAGGAAGTGTTGTGTTTGTTGTGTAGCACAACAATGTGGATGACAGTAAAGTGCTGCTGAGAAAGTCATCTGTCTCCATTCTTCTGTTTCTCTTAACTAGTGATCCATCCACCCACACATCGGACCCTCACGTTACAATAAGATAACTGATTTAAAAAAAAACTTAACAAAAAAAGTGCAGATAATACCATTCTATACTACTTTCAAACCAAACACACCGACTACTGCGTAAATGAACCAAAGTATTTAATGTCAAAAACACATAAAAAGCCAGTGAACAACCTCAATGTCCCATGTTGACCTGGCACATGATCAAGCTTTTTGGTCATATCAACTTACTAATGAACTAGATAACCACATGTCTTAAGATTACTGAATGATTTTACATCAGTGAGAATATTACAACATATTCAACAATACCCTGTACCAACTTTACATCAACTCTGCACAGCCAGGGAGACTCTTAAAAAAAAAAATACATATAGATCAAATCAAAATGAAAACATGTTATGCTGGAGACATTATTGCTTCCTGTTGGCACTTAGTGTTAAAGATAAAGAATTCCTTTGTTCTTTTCCAGTTATAAAGCAGTACATCAGTTTGACGGGTTAGGAAGAGATAAAAGCAAGTTGGAGTTTCTGAAACTATCCAATGGAGGGCAGTGTATAAAAAAAAACAATAACTAAAAGGCTATCGTATTGAATATTAGTGATGGCACTTCCATTAACAACAGATTTAAATCCTTAAAGGAAAATTTGTCACATTTTAGTATAAAAAGGCTAAATAATGAAATTCTATCTTGTGCACACATTATATTTCACAGCATTAAACATGTAACAGCATGGCCTCTGTTACCAGTATCCTTATTATTATTACTGGCACAACCTTCATGGATATTTGAGCAAATTAAAGTCACACTTGTGTTTGGTGAGATTTAAGTGTTTTACACCTGAAGAAGCTTTTTCAATGTTTTCTCCTGATTTCAGTGTCATTTGTGGAGCCTCATTCTCTCCCTGTGGGTCACTGACAAAAAGCCTAATACAAAACCCAAACAAGAAAAAAAGGCCCTACTTTTAATTTCTATAAAGTCACTTGAAGTTGTTGTTTTTTTGTAAAGGCCAAATTTGAAGCAGCAGGGGCAAATAGAACGTAACATTTTAGTTTCAAGCACACATGAATCTACATTTCCCAGAAAGCAATGCTGTTGTGTTTTTTGATTTGCAAAATCTCTCCACTATCTTCTAAAATCCAAACATATAGTTTAAAAAACAAGATAAACCCAGATGACATCACTATTTTACTTCCCTTCACAGCCACACTACAGTGAACTGTTTTCACAGTTTGACTCATAATCTGAGAGAAGAAGATTCTTTGGGTGTAGAAAAATGACTAAACTCTTCAAGTAGTTAAACTGATGAACCAGTGAGTAGCGATGTTTCACACCTGGTGTACACACCGCCCCCTGGTGGTTATTGGATGTACAGACACCACTGTTGCATGTCAGATGTCTTTGTGCAGCATGTCGAGTTTCCCTTTAATGCCCCGCTCCTCCAGAGTCTCCCCCTCCTCACAGCTCGGTCTTGCTGGCTCTGTGGAGGATCTGGTCGTAGTCGTCCTTCCTTTTGGGTTTGTAGGTGAGAAGTTGACCAAACTCTGTGAACAGCCTCTCCCAGTAGCAAGAAATATCTTGCATCCGCAGGTGGTGGAGGATGAATTCCATACCCCTGTGCGGAAAAAAAGAAGAAAGTCATAAATAAACCGATGCTGAAACTGTTATAATTTAAATGTTATCATGAGATATGTTCTGTTACCTTGTTGCTATCTCCTCTGCAATGTCGTCATTGTCTTTGACAAACTGTAGAAGCTCCCTGAAGAAACACATCAAACACATAAAGGTAATAGCACCTGTCATGTTAGCACGCTGTAACCTCAGCATGCTTAAATCGCACCTTTAACCGTTATTTAATGTCTGTTTTTTGATCATTTTCTTCTTAAACTTTCATCTAGGGGTATTCTTTAAATCTTTTTTTCGGGTTAATATAGAATAGAATAGAATAGAATAACTTTATTGATCCTAAACTGGTAAATTGTGGTGTTACAGCAGCATGTTACCAAAGAAAATAAAACAATATAAGAATAGATACATAAATAAGCACTTAAAATATAAATAAATAATAATAATAAGAGATTTATACATTAAGGATTTAACTTAACATTCCTACTGGTTTAAAAAAAATGAAAAATGAAATACAATAAATTATGAGGTACCTGACGTCAGAGAGATCCTGCTGGACTGGGATGTAGTGGACCCAGGGCTTCAGCTGAGCGTAGAAAAACTCCTGCCACTCCTCCCCGACGTGGAACACCAGAGAGCCGCAGAGGAAGAGGTGTTTGAGGCGGAAGCTGGCTGCCACCCCTCGGAAGTTGAATAAATATCTGCAAAGGTAAAAAAAAAAACGAGGGGGGAGGCGATGAAAACCTGCCCAGAAATGAGATGTGGATGTTTCTGTTTCTGATCAAGCTTACTTGTATTTGCAGTGATCCACCAGCGGGATTTCTTTGGCAGGGGGTCTCCCTAGTGTGTCCTTACACAGAAAGAAAGAAGAACACTGAATCTGGCTGTAATAGTCAGTACACAGGGTTCAGATAAAACTACAGAATCATATACAGCAGTCTAATATTCTAAATGTAAATAAATCTGTCCCTGGTGTTGCGTGCTGTCCCTTTACCTTCTCAGATTTCCAGGCCTGGTTCTTGGTGTACTCTGCGTCCACCAGCTCTGGAGCCTCTCTGGACAGAAGGATCAGCGGGTCGCGCTCCGGACTCGTTCTGTCAAGAGAAAACAAAAAAAAAAAGGGAAAGAGAACGAGAGAAAAGCAGCTGTGAGAATAAATCAGAAGAAAATTCAGGAAGAGAGAGATTGTACTACACTTAATTTAAGATTGATAGAAGAAGAAAAGTTTAGTTTGTGAATGACAAGACGGACCTGGAGCCTCTGAAGAATCCTCGGGACTCTTTGGTCCTCCATGGCCACTGTGCTGCAGACCTGCCACAACACATTATATCAAGAAGATGGAAATGTTCTCCTTTTAGTGTTTCATTCATCCATTGTAAGTATTAGACTATAGATACAAACCTTATACCTTAATGAATAAAATAAAAGTTGACCCCTCAATGTTTCATCTAAAACAAGTCAAACATGAATGATTTCATATCAGAGGGGAAGAAAACGCTCTGATCTGAGAAGACAGGATGTTTTAAATGTTTGCTAAAGGTAATCATAAGTATACACTTTGAGATATTTGTATGAACTTACTTTTTAAGGTCGTCCCTCATCAGATCCCATCTCCCAAGTCCAGTGGGGTATATCGGCCACACAGCAGGCCCGCCTTCCCAAAAGGTCCACGCAGGGTACATGATGTCCTGATAGTCTGCTGTCTACTCAGAGCACACACATTTAAAAAGCAGTTAGTGTATTGTGTTTACATTCTGTGTGTGTGTGCTTTAAACAGATTTACAGAGTCTGACCTTACTGAAAGAGAAGACGGGTAAAGTGGGTTGCACCCAGTTTGGGACTTGAGGGTAGTCCCTAACGTTGATCACCATCTCCATGTCAGGTAATCTGTCGATCACCTCCAGGATGAAATGCTCCACCCCGCTGCACCTGAAAAAGTAAACAAGCGACACGTTTATTCAAACACAGACCTCGGAGCAGATTCCTACACAATCTGATGCCGGACTCTGTCTCCTCACCTGGATGGAAACATACAGCTGTGTTCTCTGTACAACTTGTGTCCAATGATCTGGTAGTGGGTGCCCACCCCTCTCTGAACTGTCGCAGCCAGGACATCCTCAGAGATTCTCCCTCTGAAGGGCTGCAGGTCCTGCTGTAAGACACTGAGGCAGACGCACGCATTTTATAATAAAAAAAAAAAATCGAATTAAATGCAGGAGTATCATTTTTTTAATTACCATAGTTAAACACTAAAGGAAAATGTTATATGAATTAATCTTTGAAATATTTGTACACAATAATACACATAGCTACATTAAAGCAAATTACACAAAGCTGGCTGGATGATAAACCCTTGTCTATTAATGCATGGAAGTTAACAGTGGAAGATATTAAAGAAATGGAAAGAATTACGTATGGGCTAAGAAACAGAGAAGATGAATTCATGTGTTACTGGAGTAAATGGATAAAGGAAACAGATAAAGTGGAATAAAAACAGGTATGTCAATTAAATTATATTCAATTAAGAGAGTATCGAAGGAACAACCCCCCCTCCTCCCCCTGCCCCATTCTATTTTTTCTATCTAAATCTTAATTTAATTTTTATTTCTCTTTGTACCTTTTCTTTTTTTTTTAATTATCAGTATTATTAGTATTATGTTTTTTTCTAAATCTTAATTTAATAATCTTTTTTCTCTTTGTATCCTTTCTTTGAATTTTTATTTGTTAATATTCTTATTATTAGTATTATTTTTTCTTTCTAAATCTTAATTTAATCATCTTTTTTCTCTTTGTACCTTTTCTTTGAATTTTTATTTATTTTAATTTTATTTCATGTATGTATTCTTGTATGTTTCAAAAAATTATACATAAAAATGTGCCAAGATGAACAAAATATGTGATGAAATATGACAACTTATAATGTAATAAAAAATCTTTAAAGCAGTAGTTAAAATGTGATATAAGAGGAAAGGTAAACAAACCTGAGATAGCAGCTGCAGTTTACAGGATTGCACGGAGTGTAACTTTTTACAGCAACAGAGATCTTGTCTCTGTATTTCTTCCACTGATCGCCTACAAATAATGGAGAATAGATGTTCATATTGGTCACTCCTTAAATAGATAAATAAAGAGAGATAGAAACAATACAAAGATCTAAAAGCAAATAACAACAGATAACAACAATTTGAAAGACCTTATTGGATCAGTAGTAGAAGCTGCACTGTACAACAAGAAACCTCACATTGCGTCAACTTTATCCTTTCACCTGCTCCTCTACTAAGCGGAAATCACGAATGATGAATATACCATTTATGTATCAATGACTACATCACACTAGCCAGAAAGTCTGTTAGTGCTAACTAGTCTGTGGTCAAAACCCCGCTCAGGCTAAAATAAAATATAGTTAAAATCACATTTATGCATGCTCCTGTAAGCGATAGTAAAACCGTTATTCATGAAAAATGTTAAAGTTATCAGTTAGCTTAGTTTGGTTAGCTCGTTAGCTCGTTAGCTCGCTCGTGAAGTGATGAGTGACTCAAACACCAATAGTTATCGCGAGGTGCTACAGCGAAACTTTACGCGGCAAAGTCCTACAAACACTTTGTTCTTAAATTTGTTTTAAAGAGTCATATTTGTTTGTGTAAATGTATTACCTGACGCAGCAACCAAATACAAATTATAAACCTGCAGGAGTATTAAACACCTCCACAGCCTAAAGCGCTCCATTTTTCTCCCAATCCTCCAGCTTTGTCTGAAGAAACAGAGCGGCGATCTATTACTCATGCCTGAATACGGTTATTACGGTAACGCGCACATTAAAATACAAGGTAAGTCTTATCGTAATGTTTGGAAAGGTAAGTACAAATTGCCAATTAAGGCACACTGCTGACAAAATCTCCCTTTTCAAATTCACACTCACGTTCTGTCCCACAGAATAAATCAATTCCTCTTCATTTCATGGAATGAGATTCCATTTTCCAATTCATGTCGCCAATGCAAATACATTTTTGCTTGATATTGATAATGACATAGCTGATGAAATCCCCACAGCTTCTCTGCTCTAATTTCAGAATGTATTTCAAGGGCATGAATGAGCATCACTTGCATGATTGACCTGCAAAATGGATTGTTGAGGTTAGTTTCTCGGGCAAGGGAGATAAATGGAGGAAAGAAAGAAAGACAGGCTGCTCCTGGGAGATTTGGGGCTGCAAGGCTGAGTGACGGAGAGGAGGAGGGAGATAAAAACAGGTAGACAGAGGGAGAGGTAAAGACAGCAAAGGAGAGAGATGAAATATTGTTTGCAGAGAGAAAACTTGAAGCTGAGTTTTCCTTTCATTTTGCATACAAAAACCTTCAAAACTGAACAGAAATGCTCCAAATCGGGCTCTCTCTACTATACGGCATTTGCCTTCACCTGGTTTTACTCAGCACTGCAGAGGAGGGTCTCGAGTTCCCTAACTTTGACGGCAAGGACCGGGTGTTGGACATCAACGAGCGCAACTTTAAGAAAGCTCTGAAGAGATACGACCTGCTGTGTCTGTTCTACCACGAACCAGTGCCTGCAAACAAGGGCCTGCAGAAGAGGTTCCAGATGACAGAGCTGGTGCTGGAGGTAAGAAAAAGGGGGGTCTTACTTACACATGTGAGGTAGACAATATATTAAGTATCCCTATCAGCGCAAGAATAAAATAGAGAACTTGGAATGTAATGCTGTGATTAATTCTTTATGCTGGAATTTGAATTTATTGCAAATGTTTGAGACATGAAGAGAATCTGAAAATCTACTGCAATGCCCCCTAAGGACTGTGTTGCACATTAAATGCTCAATTCACTGGGTGTCATTTAATTCTCAATTACGCCACTACATCTATTAGTTTTCAGCTAATTTTGTCAAACCTTGTGTGTCCAGATTTTTTTAGCCCCCCTGCAGCACTGATGAATGCAGGAGTGGCGGTATAGCTCAGAGGTGTTATCAACTTGCAGATAATGTTTTAAATTTAAAAAGTAATGCAGTTTAATTTAGTTTGTCCACATTCATAAATTTTAAATTAAATGTGCCACAAAATTATTGACATAGCTACCACGTCTAACAGGGTAAACAGCCAATCATAGTTCAGGGTTTTGGGATGTTACCCTGGGTGTTTTTTTTTTGTTTTTTTTTGGGGGGGGGGGGGGGGGGGCAGCCCTGGACATCCCTCTTTGAAACACCCCTGCTTGTATAAAAGTCGCCTTATTAACAAGTGGGACCATTTTCACTATGCTTAATGCTGCGTTCAATATGTGTCAGTATTGTTTATTAACTTTTCAAAAAGAGTCAAATGCCATCTTAAACTCCTTCAGGTAACTTTATCCATCTTCACAAAGTTGTTTCTGTCTCCTTTTAGCCCCCACATGTCTCACTAACAGAGGTTTAAAAAGTTGTGAGGGGAAACAACATGCTATCAGGGACTCATTAGCCTACTGATGTTAGCATTTTGCAAAGTGATGTGTGTGATTTTTAAAGGATTAGAACGAACAATTAAGGACAAAGATTTATAGCTTCATCCTTCCTGTCCGTCATAAATCAACATCAGTACACGTCCATTTCCCTGTGACAATGACCCCTCTGAAGTTCACCTGAATCAAGACCCAGACGACTCGTCACTGATCAAAGACAAAAAAAAAAGGAGATTGATTTGTGTAAACAGCTCGACATATCTGATGTCACTGATAATGTCAAATATCCCCCCCGGCTTGCCTCACTGTGGTGCTCGTTTGACTCTTAACTTGTCAAAACAAGTCATCGGAGTGTCTTTGAATGCATTATATCTGAGCTCTCAATGTGTACACAGCCTGCTGAAGCATACCATGTAAAGGGAAGTCATAATTCATCACTGTCAACATTTTGACAAACAGTCAGTATTTTACCTTCTCATTCTCTAAGCTCAAAAAGCAGTGATTTAAATCCCATTACATGCCCCCCCCCCCCCCTTTGGTGCTCATGGGATTAATTCTAGGTCGTTCTGTTAATTATAGCGCGTTCCCAAAACTCTCTGGCTTTGAACTAGAAATAAGACGATGGACGCTTGCATTCTTGATCATCTCATTTCCAGAGCTAAGGGTGCGAGAAAAGGCTACATGTTTTTGTTTTGTTCAGGTTGTATTTGTCATCATCCATAAGCTTCCTTTTCAGTCAATACTTTCCATCATATTTCCATTCACTGTTTGAAAGCAGAAGCTGTTTCATTGGAGTGTTTTCTTCCTACATCAGTGGTTCCAAAACGTTTTCGACTTATGACCCCTCAGAATGTAGTGATGTACTCAGGCTGACTCTTTTCTCATGTTGTTGAGTTTTGTCAGAACTTTGCAACATTCACAAGAAAAGGCAACAAGTAGGCATCATTTTTTTTTGGAAAAAGAATCATGTTTTATTATCTTTTAAGTCCAGTTGAGCATCCATGTGTAGCCATCAATTGTGATGAAATCAGAACCCCCTTTAACTAATTCATGAAATGGGCTTTATTAGACTTAAACTGACTCTACGTGTTCAGCATAAAAAGTAAGAAAAGCAATGAATCAATATAAAATAAACAAAACCAACGCATGAACCTGTTGGCATAAAAATATATTAAAAAAAGGAATGAAGTTTATTAATGTTATCATGCATATTGGTGTTTTTAGATACATGGGCGGTTCTAGGCAGGGGCCAACAGGGGCCAACAGGGGCCAGTGTCCCTGTAACTCTGAGCTTGGTCCCCCCTGTGGCCCCCCCTCCAAAAGGAAGAGCCCCCCTTAAAACACACTGGAATTTGACTCAACAACCGGAGTCACAATCTAGTATTGAATACTGTTACTGAAACAATTATAAATCATGGTATTTAATGATGTGGGCTATTATTTGGCATACTATATATTTTTGAAAGCGATCATCTTTGTCTACTTTTCACCTCGGTTTAATGTCTCTGACAAAACAACTAGCCCCAGATTGGCCCTCTCAGTAAAAGTGGTCTAGAACCGCCACTGCAGTAACACAATGTCTGTAAGACAACACCAGCATGTCTGGACTATTGTACAGTGTTTTATTGAAGAAGATGTTCAGTGATCCTTACTGTTATCTGTCTGTCAGCTCACTGCTCAGGTCCTGGAGAACAAAGACATTGGTTTTGGGATGGTGGACTCCCAGAAGGATGCCAAAGTGGCCAAAAAACTGGGTATGAGTCATGTTTCTGTAAGACATTAGCTCACCTTGATCTGCGTCACCTTGCTACTTTCTTTTCTTGTTAATCTTTGTAATCAGCGTTCATAAAGTCACATGCTGTACTCCTGATGTTTAATAAGGTCTGGAGGAGGTGGGAAGTTTGTACGTCTTCAAGGATGACCGGGTCATTGAGTTTGATGGGGAGCTGTCATCTGACACTCTGGTGGAGTTTCTCTTGGATGTGAGTGAACAATCAGATTTCTTACTTTTCAGATTTCTATCATCAGTGAAACTTTAACTGAAACACATCTATAAGAAAAGCTTGATATTCAAGACACGTTTTCAAATTCTTGCCAAGAGATGATTAGATTGATACTCTCGTATCTGTGAGCCAGAAGCCATTTAGCTTAGCTTAGCTTAGCATATTGAATGGAAGTAGGGGGACTCAGTTAGCCTGGCAAGGAGAGAAAGTACATATTAGAAACATGTAAAGTATTTCACAGTTTTTTGTCTAAACCTACTCAAATTTGTCAAAGCAAAAGTGTAAGTAAAATACAAAACCACAAAAATGGAAAAAATACACTTTTCATGGTCAAAATAGTCATGGGTGTGCATTAAATAAATAAACACTATACGTTCTTAAGAGAGCTTGTATTGGGCTCTAAGGTATTTTTTTTACAGCTGGAAAGAGCCAGGCTAGCTGTTTCTAGTCTGTAAGTTACACTAACATAAATAGCTGCTAACATTTTAGCATATGAGACAGCTAAGCTTGTTTCCAAATGATCTAAATATTGCTCAACGTTTTATTCTTTGCGGTGATAGTACCTGTATTATACCGCCCCCTATAGGTGCTGGAAGACCCGGTGGATATGATCAATAACGCCATGGAGCTGCGTGCCTTCGAGAGGATGGAGGAGGACATCCGCCTCATTGGCTACTTCAAAGGAGAAGATATATGTTAGTTTATGAATGGATTTGACTTTGCATTAACAAATGATGGGATTGTTTTATGGGATAATCTGTTTTTCTGATCCCTTAAGTTGCCTAGCTTTGCTCCTCGGTTGCTAATGGGATGGATGGGCCACTGAGCTACTTTCCTGTACATCACTGTGTAACCGGCTGTTAAAGGAAACCTGATTCTCTTTGTCTCATGAGAGCTTTTAAATAGCTTCTAGTACTCTGTCTAATAGGTCAAACTACAATTATAGTTCCTCTCAACAAAATAAGGAGAAAAGTGACACAGGGAAGATGCTATCCTTTATAAGACAGTGTTTCCTTCAGTCTGTCCGGGGACAGGTTGGTCCCTGGTTGTGACCTTGTTGGGAGCAGAGCCAGGAGCCATCTCAAACATATCAAACTGTATAAAGCGAAGTTACTCTGGTGAAGGAAGTACAATCATGAGGGGGAAATGAAATGAACCAAAGGGGCTTTACTGCTTTCCTTCCTGATCACATACTCAAGATTAAGGCGAGGAAATGTGACCCAAGTGTAAAAAGAGAAGACCAACACTTAAATCTGTCATTTTCTTGTGTTCTTCATCTCTCTGGAGTTCATCATTAATCTCTCTCTCTCGCTTCCATTTCCTCAGACTTCAAAGCTTTTCAGGAGGCCTCAGAGCGCTTTCAGCCTTACATCAAGTTCTTCGCTACATTTGACAAATCTGTAAGTCCTATTCCACAACACGGTCCACATGGAGTCTTTAATTCTGATGAAGCAAGTAATGCTATTAATAATTTATTCAGAACCAGGCAGGAAGAGTCATGTTTCAAGTCTTCATGCTAAGCTAAGCTAAGCTAAGCTAAACTTATTGCAATCTAATATATATCGTTTATAGCCAAGTAAGGTATCTATCTTCTCATCTAACTTTCAGAATAACTTTCAAACTGAATAAGACAGTTTCCCCAAAGGTCAATTATTATTATTATTATTTTTTTTTTTAAAGATTTATTTATGGGCTTTTTATGCCTTTAATGGAGAGATAGGACAGTGGATAGATTCAGAAATCAGGGAGAGAGAGAGAGTGGGGAACGACATGCGGGAAAGAAGCCACAGGTGGGATGTGAACCCAAGCCGCCCGCTTGAGACAACAGCCTCCATACAAACAAAATGCAATTATCCAGATTGTAGTTTTTATACACAATGAAACAAACCATATCATTAGCTCCACATGCTAATCATGCTGTATGTTTTAGGTGGCCAAACATCTGTCCCTCAAGATGAACGAGGTGAATTTCTACGAGCCGTTCATGGAGGAGCCGGCCATCCTACCTGGCAGACCTTTGTCTGAGATGGACATCGTAGAGTTCGTCACCCAACACAGAAGGTTGATTAGATTTGTTTCTTTTACGTATTCATATCCCAATAACACTTGGTCAAAACTCAATCAAAAGAATTCATTACCAATGTTTTACAGGGCTACTTTGAGGAAGCTACGGGCAGAGAATATGTTTGAAATATGGGTAGGTAATTGTTTGCCAAAGAACGATTTTAAGCTAATTTCAGGTGATTCATCCCGTTTGTCCTGAAGACTGTTTTCCATTTCCTTAGGAGGATGATATGGATGGAATACATATTGTTGCGTTTGCTGAGGAGGAAGATCCAGGTTTGTGTCTTTTCCTTTTAGTTCCGTTGTTTTTTTTTTTTATTCTTTTGGGCACCTTAAAAGGTTCTTCTTTTCTGTATTTTTCAAGATGGCTACGAGTTCCTGGAGATCCTAAAAGACGTAGCGAGAGACAACACCAACAACCCGGAGCTCAGCATCATGTGGATCGACCCTGACGACTTCCCTCTGGTTCTGCTCCATCATTAGCTTATGTAACAAAGACATTAAATGTAAAATAGGACAATGAAAATCTATATTCACTTTTTGTTTATCTTGTCCTTCCAGTTGACTACGTACTGGGAGAAAACCTTCAAGTTGGACCTGTTTAGACCTCAGATCGGGGTGGTCAATGTCACAGACGTAAGTAATGATTGAACTCCTAAGTTAAGTGTGTTTAACCCTTACCCCCTTACCTTGACCGTCTTGTTGTGCTGTGATCTAGGCCGACAGTGTGTGGCTGGACATGTCCAACGATGAAGACCTGCCCACGGCTGAGGAGCTGGAGGACTGGATCGAAGACGTTCTGTCCGGGAGGGTGAACACAGAGGACGACGACGAGTCTGGAGACGACCAGGAAATCACTGACAGCTACATCACAGAGGACAGCTATGAGGGTCACGAGCCAGACGAGGAAGAGGAGAGCGATGACTAACTTGAAGGGTTAATGGTCGGTTTGTCTCCTTGCAGTTTAGACTGATTCATTCGAGCCCTATTTCAGACAAAGATGTGTAATTTCTATGTCTTTACTTTTATCAATTCTGTAAAAGATATCTGCATTTTAGCTAGTAAATGCTAGCCAATGTTAGCAAGATAGCTGCTGACTTTGACTGCACGCTGTTCGGTGCTAATGTGCTCGTGTAACATATTTTTAAACGTCTTTCTGCTGCAAATAGCTTTAGAAAAATATGTTTAGAACACATAGTGAATCAAAACAATACTTGAGCATTAAACACAAAACATTACCAGGCCATACACTCAACACAACTAGCAGAAAGAAGCTAAAATGCTGCATTAGGCAGGTGGAACACATTGTTAATCTGAATGACATCTATAACATTACACACATTTTTAATATGAACAAATGAACACTAGTAGGTTGACAAATGATTGTGACATCATTAGGACATATTCTAATGGTGTTTATTGATGCATGTAGAAGTGAATGTCTTTTCCCTTTTAATTAGAACAGTCCTTAAAATTTCTTGAGATTATTTCAGGACAAAATAAAAAAAAAGTTCTGACTCGGCACAGCACAGCTCCACAGAAATCTCAGAACAAAAATAATAATCTATTCACATATCATTTATAGATCCTCTAACAATCATATTTTAGTTGAAGGAAATAAATTTGACAATAAAATATATATCTACGATTCCTCAGAAAACATGGTCAGCAGCTTGGTTGAGTTGCCAGTCTACGCAAACGGTCTGGCTCAAGTCACTCATTTCTTATTTTGTTCACCTTTTCTAACCATTGCTACTCATTCAATTGGTTAAATAAATGAGCATATCTGCTTCCTGATTGGGTAATCTGAAAAAATAAATAATAAATAAATAAAATAATAACAAAATATAACCTAAATTTTTCCATAATGAAGAGGCAGGAACAGAAGTTTACCAACAAATATGTTTTTGCAAATGGATTTCTTAGTGTGGAAGTGAAAGGGTTAAAGGGTAATGCTAATAGTTGTGTATAGTTAACTTAATTCTTGATTATTATAGTTGTAAATTCGTAGTACCTTCATCATTATTTTTATTTAATTCCTATATAATCTAGTTGTATTAGTACTCATATGAATGTTCTTCTTGTTGGGATCAATAAAGGATTATCTTCTCTTATCTTATAATAAACACTATTTTGAGAATAGAATTTGATATAAAACAGCATCAAAAAAAATGTGTGTGTGTGTGTGTGTGTGTGTGTGTGTGTGTGTGTGTCTCGTTAAGAAGGTCCAGACTGGGGCCCAAGACAACAGATTGGCCTCTCTGACGAATGATTTCACCTTGAATTATTCAAACATCGGTGAATAATTTAGCATCGTTAAGCCTCCTAATGGGCGAGGGGACCTGGACAGTGAGTCGGGGGGGAGCCGTGGGTGAGACATTGGGCTCTACAAACCGCATAAGGAGCGGACACCCTGGACATGAATTAATAACACAAGGCCATGCATGAATGAATGATTCCCCTGCAGTGTGTAAACAGGATGTTTAGATATCACGCTCTGGGATTCATATAGAAGCCTTAAAGCTGAGAGACGAGAACATCCTGGTCAGTAATGTGCACTTAAACATGACCTGAGGCAACAAGACATTTCACGCTTTCTCCTCAGGGGGAAAAAAAGTGTTCCTGCACGGCCTTCAGGGTTACATAATCCTGTCAGAGTCAAGCGTGATGGTGTTTTACATGAACGCTGACTAAAAGGAGGGCAGGAGGACGCACGCACGCACGCACTCTCTCTCACACACACACACACACACACACACACACACACACACACACACACACACACACACACACACACACACACACACACACACACACACACACACACACACACACACACACACACACACACACACACACACACACACACTCTTCTGTAATCCCGTGAGTGAAAGGACAACATAGAGGTGTGAAGGTTTGACAGGCTCAATTTAAACATGACAGAAGAAAAGAAAAGAGTTCTAAGGTGTGGATTTCTGAAGACACTCACAGATAGAAGGATTCCAACACGAGCCTCCACGTGCACATAACCAAAGTCATTACCAAACAGATAGGAGGGGAAGAAAAACATTCCATTTAGATGCAAATGCAACCTCATTTCCTCCTCCATCCATCCTCGTCGCGGTCCAGGCGGGGAATGGGGAGGGGGATTAAGTTGAGGACAGATCAGTTCCGACAGGATGACTCGCCTCCCCGTGCTCGTGCAGGGGGATGAGCTTGTTTGTTTTCAGCGCTGGACGCCGACACTGACATTCATTTACCCACTAAACCCGGCTGCGTCACCATGACAGGCTGACAGCGAGCCAATTACCAGAGAGCTTCATGAGAAAGAAAATAAAGGCCAAAAAAAAAGTGGCATGTCGCGCAGCTGGACCGCACGAGTAATGGGCAAAAACAGAGGCGAGTGTTGGGGGGGGGGGGGGGGGCTAGAGATGTACGGAGTTAGTTTGGAGGGATGAGTAAGAGGTAATAAAAATACTATTAGTATGTTTAGTAAAAATTTCGGCTTCAAAATTTGAATATTTTCATGAAAAAAATTCGGCTTGAAAAAAGTGGAAAATTTTCATGAAAAATGTTCAGCTTCAAAAAAGTTGAAAATTATACAAAATAACTGAGACCACATCAAAGGAATATTCTGCTGTTAAATCATACTGAATTTCTCTCTGTAAGTTTGAGAGCAGGTCACTGTTACAAAGGGAAAATGCACAGTTGGAAAATGTTGTTGGAAGCCAAGAGGTGCCATGGCTAAAATAATTTAGATTCTATATATTATTTCACTTGTAATACACATCTAAAAAACAACAACAAAGCAAACATATCAAAAAACAACGAGAGTGATCCCTCTTGAAAATGTGACAATAGAAGCAATATTTTTGATGACTCATCTGCTACGATAATTCACAATAACTTTGTTAGGTTGCAACAGTATTTCCAACATGGCCACCGCCATCGATGGGACTCCAGCGCCCCCTGCAGGAACAGAGTGGTGATGTCACTCAGGCTAATTAATATTTAGAGTCAGCAGAGTAGAGGGGGAAAGGCAAAGAAGAAAAGTCATCAAACTGTCTATAACTGTGTCTTCTATGGACTGCATCAACCTGAGTGACCTTCAACCTTTTGTAGTTCAGTTGAGTGTGTGTTTTGGAAGCGTGTATGCGACGACTCCACCAACCGATCACTGCTGTGCTGACTCTGGTGGTCAAAGGAGACTACCAGCACAATATGGCAGCAAGATTTTGGCTTCACTTCTGCACATAAAATAGGAGGACATGTCATCAATATTTATATACTGATATTCAAATCTGTGGTGTAATCTTTTTTTTTTTTTGTCATAATAGGGCAGCTTTAGAAAAACAAACAATGTGGTTCATGGGGCGCCTGCTCTACCAATTAGCTAAATGTGTTTCGGCTAAACACCCTGCAGGATTACTGAGATGTTGAAAACTGTAAACAAACTTTTTTTTTCTTCTTTGCCGACATCTGACACTGATTTGTGTAAACCATGAATGTACCATGAAAAGGTACATTCGAGAATAATCTCACTCATTTGGCACATGTGAAGTTAAAAAAATACTCAGCCTAATAAAGTTTCAGCTGAGAAAAAAAAATCCCCTTGTGATAAATATGAGCCTCATACAGCAGTTTTACAAATGTTCATAAAAATGTTTATTCATTTTTTGTACAAACGTCTACGCTGTGAGACGAACATGTCTTATATTGCAAATGTCGAGTCATATTGGTAAAGCTGTCCCGACATAAACCAGACCATGACGCAGGACTGTGAGCGTTTCTGTGACGGGAGGGGAGGGGGAGAAGGCTGCTCATGTGAACTGGAATGGCAAAAACACACTTTCATACATACACACACATACATGCTCGTTAACATAAATAGATACAGTGTAAAAACAGGAGGCACAGTCACAGCGGGGTCAAAGTTCATCTGTCAGCAGGTACCAAATGACAGGTGTTGAATTAAAGACATTTCTATTAGATTTGAACAGTTGAAAAGTTACAGTGTAAGATTTATTTCTTATGCTTTTTGTATGAAAACATGGTGCTGCTGCTTTATGCTGGGTTAAGCAGCCAGGGGGCAGTAGTGGATGACTGCTCACAAACACACCTCATGAAGTATGACTTTTTGATTCTGTTTCCATGTTAAGGCAGGGACAGAGTAGTCACTCATGATGTTGAAAATGTCATTTTAGTGCCTTTAGCTTAGCTTCTGGCTCTGCAACATTAGCTGATTTTAATCCAGGGAAAGAAAAAAGAATTCCCTGTGAGTGTCTAATGTGGAGGGATCCCTGTGAGCAAGTGTTTGTCAGACGACAGAAGCGAGACATGTTGAAGGAAAACCAGACGGTCCAGTTGGGAAGGAGGTTCCACCCTGCTGCAGCTCGACACTGACAAAAAATCTGCTTATTTTCATGCGTTCAAACACTGTGTGACCTCAGAGAAGACACTCAACACTGTAAACGCTCACATAAGGGCTTCATCGAGCTCAGTGTCTGAATATATAGAACTTGTTTTCTCAGTCAGATTTTAAAACCTTGATGTAGTGTAAATGATATTGATACTTGTTTCGATACCACAGCAACAAAAACAAAAACACAAGTCCTAGGTTCCCAGTTTTGGGTAGTCCCTTGTTTTTTTTGTTTTTTTATCATCAGTACCAAAAATTGCAAGCCCCCTCCTGCACTCGGTCTAAATCACAAAAACACATATGAGACAATTTCCTAATAACAAATCAAATATTCCTCCAGCTGAAGTGTGTGGTGATTTATCAGCACACACCCAGGACTCTTGTGTTTTCAGATTTTTGCTCACAGCAGTTTTGTGTTCAAAATATGACCGAGGTGGAAAATTGTCCACATTTTTGACTATCTTAAAGTTGCACTCTGTAGATTTTGTAGTGAAATTTGAAAGTTGGAGAAGTGAAACAATTCCATACTATATTTTCTGAACTGAATACACAAACTTTACTCATAGAAAAAAAGGGTCCCTGAACACTGTTTGGAGCTGAAAAAGCTACCAGGAGCGGGCCCCCCAAAATATATATAAAATATATAAATCTTGCATATAATTCTCTAATTATAATCTTCTAACAGTTCCACGGACCATATTTTCCTCTGAGGACAGTTTGTTTATAGAGTTATAAACATATACCACAGAATCTGTACATTTCTCCAACTTTCACATTTCTCTACCATAACTCCATAGTGCACCTTTAATCCTCAGGTGGAACTTTTTTTTCCCCCACAAACAGGTGAAGTGACCCAGAATGAAACTTCAGTCTGACAGTTTAAGAGATCATTACATAACAGCATCATCCAGTTTCTTGTTTTCTACACTGATTAACACTGAAAAAATGTCAAAAGATGTCTTCAATCTTCAAAGAAGGGAAAAGAGAAGTTCATGAAGTGGTGATTACTGCATGACTCTCTCAAAGAAATAGAAGTATAATGTATGCATATATAAAATGGGGCACTAGGCGTGGCTATCCGGCAGCCCTACCTGCCTGCTTTAGCATGTTTTAATATCATCTTTAATATGAGAGTTTACAGTATGATGTCTTCACTCTTTGTAACACACAGATTGTAATCAGTAGTATTTTTTTATTCCTGACATCGTGGCTCCTCCTTCCCGTCACATCAGGCGGTCGCTTGTAGACTTGAGAGCCTCGAGAAGGTTACTGAACCGATGAAGCGGGGCGAATGTTTGAGGGCATGTGATCCACCTCTGAGCGTCTCCTGTGATCCGGATCATTCAGCGTTTCATCCCCGGGTTTAATATGGCATGTGTGTTCCCAACTGGAGTGGAAATATTTGGGATTTTGCACCTGGAGGAAGAATGGTGCACGCACAGAGAGAGGTCAAAGAGTCCAACTTCGGCTGCACATAGGAGATGATGTGTGTCCACCTTTTTAGGTGTTTTCTTTCAATTCATAAACATCAAATGTGCATTTAATGCAAAATCCATTTAAAATTGAGTCATGTCTCTTTTGTAAAAGAGCATTCCATTTCGTTTGGAAGGAGACGCTGCAGGCGCTGTGGCAACACAGCAGGATATTTATCATGTGTCTCCATAAGGCTTCAAATATAAAAAACATCCATGTCACAGCAGCACAGTGCTCAGTTGTTCATGTGTTTGTCTGTCCAATGGAAATGAAAAAGAGCGGTGGAGACGATAAAGTGAGAAATAATCCCGTCTTTGTTTGGCTGCAAAAGTTAACGACTGATTGCGTTGAAACGCGCACGCACACGCATGCACGCATGCACGCACACGCACACACGCACACGCACGCACACGCACGCACACACACACACACACACACACACAGTATGTGCACACAACAAAGTCCAGGACGTCCAAGTTCAACGACTTCCTTCTTTTTCTTGTTTTCATCCAAAACAAATGTAAAAAAGAGGAAAATATTCAAACATGTGTGTTGTGTATAGCTTCATATATAATATATATATATATAAAAAAAAGGAGAAATAAAAATCTGCAAACCCAAACAAAGCGGTGTGTGAGTAGTAAAAAAAGAAAGTCCTACACGGAGGTCTCAGACTGTAAGCGCAGGACAAACTTGTGGGACTTTGGGTCGATGTACTCCTCGGACATCTGGATGTACGGGATCTTCTTGGACGTCACCACCAGGCTAAAGTCGGCACACTTGAGCAGGAAGACGGAGCCGTCTTTGAGGCCGCTGGTGACCGACGCCTCGCTGACGAGCGTCCACTGGCGGGACAGCCAGTGGTCCCGGCTGTACTGCAGGGTGGGGCCGGGGGACAGGTAGCTCTCCAGGAACGCCTGGGAGGCAGAAATAAATAATATTCATTCTCATATATATACATATATATATATATATATATATATATTGTCTTTGTGTATTTGTTCTCACTTTAGTTGTCATGTCTGTTATGTCTATATATACTTGTTTCATTTTGTTCACCTTATCACCCAAAAAATAAATAAATAAATAAAATAAAATAAGTAAATAATAAAAATAAAAAACAATAATAAAAAAATAATAATAATAACAGACTCACTGTTTGTGTTGATAAGAATAAGTACTATATTAAACTCTTCCTGACCTTGGGCGTCATGTTGTTGGTGATGCAGAAGGCGAGGTGCTGCTGGATGCTCTCCATGCTGTGGCAGTGCTGCTGCTTGGTGGTCCTCAGGTACTTCTGCAGAGCCCGGGCCATAGAGGGGAAGATGGCCTGTGCCGCCTCTCGGGGGTCCATCACGTCCCCCGGAGCCTTCTTCTGCTCCTCCTCCTGCATGCGCTTTACATGTGTGAAGGCCTCCTCTACTGCCACCACCAGGCTGAGGGTGGGGAAAATGAAGAGGAAAAAAAGAAAAGAGAAAAGAATAGGAAATGCTTGTTGTCAAATTTTTATGTCCAATGCTTTTTTTGTATTTTCTCTTCTTTCTCTTTTTTCTTGAATAAAAAAAATGCATCAAAAAAGAGGACTACATTCTCTCTACAGTCACACAGCGTCACTGACAACACTTTGAAGACTTTTCACACACAACAGCATGACTTACTTCCTATATCTGGCTGCTTTATCCTCACATTGAGTCATATCCCATTTTTAACCCCATCATTTCTGATTTTATGGTTTTAAAAAAATCAGAAATGTAAGTGAGTTAGTCTCTCGTATTACCGTGCTCTGCGTTTCCGGACGCGCCTCTCGTGCTCCGCCTCCTCGTAGTACAGCTCGTTGTGGCTCGTGTCTCTGCGGCGTGCGGCGGCGGCGATCATGGCTCTGGACTGAGAGTGGGCCATGCCTGCTGCTGCATTGTTCCCAGGACCTGCATGGGACGATAATACAGACAGGAAGTGGTTTAATGTGTGTGTGAGTGTCTCTCTTATCACAGCCTGAAGAAGACTTTGGTGATGACATTAAGTGCAATGTGAGGAAGATGCTGCTTCATGTTAGCACCACAGATACTCTAACATTCCCTTTTCTCTTCCCCTCGCTGTCCAATCCAAGTGGAGTCTTCAGCTACTTCAACACTGTTTGGTTTTTTGGGGATCGGGGATGGGAGGCTGCTGCTGATGAACCCTGCCTGATGTTAATGCAGGTTAAAAGACGGCAGAGCTGCTGAATTATTAACAAGAGGCACAGATCGAACATGAACAGAATTATTCATGGGCAGAGAGGAGGGAGTGTTCAGCACACAGCAGCTCTGGCTGCAGATGTTAGGAGTAGAGCCCGAGCCATTAATCGGCCAGCAGATAATATCGGCCGATATTAGAATATCCTTTTGTTTATGTTGCAGGAAAATTTGTATAACAATTTAAAAATATATTTATAGAAAACTTACTATGTGTCATTTCATGAGTTAATTTTCTACAAACTAAAAACACAAACAGCGTAGCTTGTATTTCACGTTCCCTTGGTTACATTGTTCTTAATTAAAGCTTTGTGGAGAAAACAATACAAAGACTAAATAGCTCGTCTGGCGTCATAAAATCACAAGAAGCTATTTAGACGTGCTGTGATGGAGTCACTTCTTTAATCAGGGAACGATTATCCTCTGTCCCTGACTTCAGATTAGGTATTACGAGAGAGAGAGAGAAAGAAAAAGAGAGAGAGAGAAAGAAAAAAAAAGAGAGAGAGAGAGAGAGAGAAAGAAAAAGGAGAGAGAGAGAGAGGTCCCTGAGCAGCTGCTGCAGATGAAAGAGGAGAGAAAAATGACAGGGCATAGAGCGTAATAGTTTTTGATTTATCAGTCCTCTCAACCTCTAACTTTTCAAAACATGAGGGAGTGAAGTTAGTGCTCTTAAATGAATCTGGAGTACACTTCAGGGAGAGAGACAATGTAATAGAGGGTTTGTGTGACATTCTGCTGAGCACGAGATAACCTGAGGCATGCAGAGAGTGAAGAGAGGATCCACAGTGAAGAGTGTGTTTCACCTCGTCTGACAGGACTGAAGATTTAAGGATAACTTTAGTGAAGTGAACACAGGCCGTGCTGTGGGGGTGGGGGGTGGAGGCAGGGTTAACGTTACTTACTGTCCAAAAGGTAGGCTTTGAGTTTGGCTCTAAAGACTAGTTAACGTAAACACAGTAAAGAGGAGAGAACAGTCAAACACAGCAGTGACTGTTCAGAGGGTCCAACAACAAATCAAACTTTACTCTCTATTAGTGCTGATCATTATGACATTATTATTATACTATAAGTGGAATATCTGAAGATGACTTCTCTTTGAGTGTGATGAAAGTTTAGTACATATTGTACTAAATATTTTATATTTATATATTTATCAATCATGTATGATTTTTTTTTTTAGACAGAATAGTTTATTCCAGCATCTGGAATGAGATTTTTCAGTTTTTCTATCATATGTATCCTGTTTGTTTTGTTTTCGAGTGTATATTAAATATATTGTGTTATATATATATATTATATAATGTGACCAAATGAAGAGTCTTTAAATAGAGAAGAAAAGAATGATGGATTCATTGTGTATGACATTTTGTGTTTTTTATATTTTACATTTTAAATTTCTATTTTATATATTGTAATATCTTCTTATTCAGTATTATTTAAGTTGTTGCTAGTTCTGCTTTATTTCCTTGTTAATTGTTTAGCACCAATATACCAAGTCAAATTCTTTGTATGTGTAAATGTACTTGGCAATAAACCCCGATTCTGATTCTGATTCTGATCTGTACTTTAAGCTGGAGTTGCAGCTGTATTGCATTATTGTTGCATTGTTGACCTTTTCTTTTTTTTACAAGATAAAACATGGAGTTGGTTAATGGTGAGATCACATGAGAAAATAACATTTGCTCTGTTTTTCTGAATTATCAAGATTTTTATCTCGAAAATTACGAGTACTGAGATGCTTGGCTTTCTCAGAACAACACCAACGCCCAGGTTGCACTCTAAGGGGATCCTGCATTTTCAGCAGTTGCTTGTTTTTTTCCTGAGTCACCTGAATACATTTCAAATGCATCATGTTAAATCAGTGAAGCATGTTGTATCAGAGCAGCAGATCCTGTCAGATGAAAAGATGGAAGTTACCTAAAGAGTATCTCCCCATGTTTCAAAACTCTGGGAACGCTTACTGCTTTAAAGCCCCGATATGTAAACTCAGCCCCCAGGGGGCGTTCAATCAACGATAACAAAAAGACGACGTCAAGGCTGGCGGGGAATCATGGAAGTGATTCTCTCTCTGCTTCTTCCCCCCCAGCAACAATGAAAACAAATTCTGAGTTGACGGTAGTCATGACGACCGTGCGAAACCAACCTGAGGATGATAACCGACGCGCTAATATATCCAAATTTAATTTACGTGACGTTTCTATCACAGCAGCACATACGCTAGCTTTTAGTAGCAGCTCACGCTTCATTATGTAGTGGTGTTTGACGTAGCATCTGGTGTTTACATGGATACGGTAAACATGTTGTTACAACTATTAAATGATTGATTTCTCGGACTTTGATAACTGTTTTAAATATTAGAGGTAATATAAGTACTCAACCAAAAATATTAACATAGGTTTGATGTATTTTTTCAGTTGAGATGTCTACACCTCTAAGTGAGAGAAAATAGTATTTTATGATTTTTCAGAGAGAGTAGAATCAAATGAATCAATAAGTGTGATCTTTAATCTTAAAATCCTAAAAAAAAGTGTGAGAATTATAATATCAGGCAGGAAAAAGGACCTTCAGAGACTTCACCACACAGAAACACCAAAAGACAAAGACCAAGACACAACATGGAGCTGAAAAAAAAAGAAACCATCCCACTCACCGTCAGCAGTGCCTGCTGGGAACTCACCATCCACGTTGTAGACCTTGAGGCCGGCCAGGTGCTTTGCAGCGCGGGACTTGGAGGCAGAAAGCAGAGCAGGATTATGGACCGGGAAGTCGCAGTAGTAATGCTCCAGGATGGCCAGAGCTGCTCGCTGAATGCTGGAGAGAGGAGAAGAAAGAGTTCAGAGTTAAAGCACTTCAGGTAGAATCCAGGTGTGAGGCAGAGCTTCCCAGAAGGAGAGAAGAACGTGAGAAACGGTAGCCAAAGGACGTTTCACACCGGTGATACAGAATAGGAGGAAATCCCTGCAGTAACTCAACAAGCTTTCTTCCCTGAATACAGAAGAAGAACGAGAGCAAGAGGCATTAGCCCAAAGACCTCCTTGGCTTTCTTTGAAAACTTGCTCCTTCTTGTATTTCTTGAGGAAAGACACTTTCATCTGCTGAGGGAAAAGAAGTAGACAGAGTTTCTAAAGTTGGCTGGAAGCGGGTGAGAAACAGTTTCATGTGGAGAATTAGAATTCATCAAGCAAATAGCCTGCCTTTTTTTAACATATCCTTGATGAAACTGAGGAGAAAAGAGGCACTTAAAACAGTATTTCTGAACCGAACTGACCAGTCTCTTTGCTGACTGGTGAGCAAGGTCAACCGGAGGATGGGTCCAATAGTTAACTGACTACAGTCCATCTGAAGTCATGTTGTGTTGGTTGTCAACGCTAAGGCAGGGCAAGTTTATTTATAGCACGTTTCAGAGCGCTAAGAGAAAAGAGTAAGAAGCGAAACAATGAGAAAGAGTGAGAGGCCGGTGTGTGCCTGAGCTCTACACCACATCCTGATCTTTCAAACTGTGGAAAAAAAAAAAAAAGAGAACACGCCTCGACTTGTCCTTCATAACACAGCACCATTAATCCCATTGTACATGAGCGGGGTGTTTTCACATGTTGTGTGACATAAATCATTTGCTCCTTTATAATATACGACCTCGGTTTTCCTGGAAGTCTGGGGGTGAACATTCTTTCTCTGAGGAGTTTAAATCACAAGAGAAATAATCATTCAGTTCAACTTCAGGGTCTAACATGATGAGTAACTAAAGAAAGCTAACCCAATACTTATAGCATTAAATAGTATTAAACCAGTTATTGTGTAACTAGACTAAACCACTGGCATATTTTTATTTATAAGGGTATTCTCGGTATTCTGCTTCCATCCTACCTACAGAGCTACATACTTCAAAAAAGTAATGGAAGTTACCATCCCAGATCGCAGGAATTACACCTTCTAACCATCCCTATGTTGTCATGGCGCCGCGCTAGTGGCAGCCTGTCGTAGCAGCTCCGGTTTTTTGTCTTGCGTTTTAAGTGTTTTTAAAGTGTTTTGTTACGTGTCAAGTCACCTGTCGTAGCCTATGAGTTAGTCAAGATGGACACTAAGTGGCTTAGTCAAGTTTTATTAGTTTTTATATTTTTTTTCGTGTCGGGACAGTATGCCAATGCATACTAACGGTATTGTTTACACGCACGACCAGCTGTTAGAGCTCTCCAAACCACTACCTTAGACGGGAACGAGACACCAAATCCCAGAGGAGCTAAGGAGAAGACACCGAGGATGCAGAGCCGGTGTTATAAGGAGAGCAAGGAGGAGAAGGTTCAAGCCCTGCATCCCCTCGATTGTCATGGGGAATGTGAGGTCGCTGGTGAACAAGGTGGACGAACTCGAAGCACTCATAAGATCACAGCGTGAATACCGAGAATGCAGTTTAATGTGTTTCACCGAGACATGGATGCAGGAGAATATTCCGGACGCAAACACAACAATGGATGAATTTATGACTGTACAGGCTGACCGGGATCACAGGCTAAGCGGTAAGAAGAGAGGAGGGGGGCTTGCTCTGCTTGTGAATAACCGATGGTTCCTTCTCACATTAATGTAAAGGAGCGCATCTGCACCCCTAACATCGAACTGTTAGCCATTAGTCTGCGTCCATACTATCTCCCGAGGGAATTTACCAGTGCTGTTGCCATGGGAATTTTAATCATGCCTCTCTCTCTACAACCCTCCCAACTTTTCACCAATTTGTCATGTGCCCTACCAGAGACAATAAAACACTGGATTTACTGAATGAAAACACACAGGATGCATACAGATCCATAGCCCTGCCTCCCCTTGGTAGGTCAGACCATAACCTGGTTCTGCTTAGTCCCACCTACACACCAATTGTTCAGCGGCAACCACGAGGACAGTCAGGAGGAAACCAATGAGCTCCTGCAAGGGTGTTTTGAGGCTACAGACTGGGATGTGCTCTGCGAAGCCCATGGGAATAACACTGACTCCATGACGGACTGTATAACTGACTACATCTCCTTCTGTGTCAATAATGTGGTACCTACTAGGGAGGTGAGGTGCTTTGCAAACAATAAACCCTGGATCACCAGTGATTTAAAATGTCTGCTAAATAAAAAGAAGAAGGCATTCAGGGACGGTGACAGTGAGTTGCTGAAGAGCGTACAGAGGGAGTTGAGGGTTGGCTGAGAGAAAACAAGGAGGCATACAGGAGGAAGCTGGAGAGCAAGCTCCAGCAGGACAACATAAGGGATGTGTGGCACGGTATGAAAACCATAATCGGCTTCAAGGTGAAAGGAAATCAGGCAGAAGGTAGTCAGGAAAGGGCCAATGAGATGAACGTGTTCCTTTGGCTACCTCCCCGGCCCCTGATAGCCACACAGACCCTACATCCTCCCCCCCTCACAAAGGCCCCCCCCTCCCCGCAAGTTACCTGGACGGCAACCACTGCCCCCCCCAACATGCTCTGACCCCCAACGTGCCCCACACTTCTCTGGCCTGTCTGTCTGTCTCCAGTAGCCAGGTGAGAATGCAGCTCGAGAGACTCGGCCAGAACATGGCAGCAGGTCCAGATGGCATCTGCCCCAGGGTTTTGAAAGCCTGCGCAGGTCAGCTATGTGGCATTCTACAGCATCTTTTCAACCTCAGCCTCAGCCAGGGGAGGGTGCCAGTGCTGTGGAAAACATCCTGCCTTGTTCTGGTTCCCAAGAAACCCTCTCCCTCTGCCCTAAATGACTACAGACCAGTTGCCCTAACATTGCACATCATGAAGGTACTTGAGAGGCTGGTCTTGGCCCACCTGAAACCACAGGTGACCAGCTACCTGGACCCACTGCAGTTTGCATACTGCCCAAGGGTGGGGGTTGAGGACGCCATCATCTACCTACTCCACAGAGCCCACTCTCACCTAGACAAGTCTGGTAGCACTGAGAGGATTATGTTTTTTGATTTTTCAAGTGCTTTTAACACCATACAGCCAGTACTGCTACGTGAGAAGCTGGAGCTGATGCAGGTAGACACCACCACAACATCATGGATCATGGATTACCTGACTCACAGACCACAGTTTGTGAGGCTGGGGAGGTCTGTGTCTGAGCGGGCGGTCAGTGGCATAGGAGAGCCGCAGGGGACTGTGCTGTCCCCTTTCCTCTTCACACTATACACCTCAGACTTCTAGTATAACTCTGAGGCTTGTCACTTACAGAAGTTCTCAGACGATACTGTGGTAGTAGGGTGTATCAGTGGTGAAGAGGAGACAGAATACAGGATGCTGGTGGATAACTTTGTTGCACGGAGTGGGAAGAACCACCTGGTGTTAAATGTAACAAAGACCAAGGAAATGGTGGTGGACTTTAGGAGGGACAGGCCTGAGCTAAGCACCATCTCTATCCTTGGGGATGAGGTGCAGGTGGTGGAGTGCTATAAATACTTGGGGGTGAACAATAAACTGGACTGGAAGCACCACACAGAGGCTGTCTACAAGAAGGGTCAGAGCAGACTCTACTTCTTGAGGAAGCTTAGGTCTTTTAATGTGTGTAGCAAATGTTATCCATGTTTTATCAGACTGTTGTGGCAAGTGCAATTTTCTTTGCAGCCGTCTGTTGGGGCAGCAGCATCAGGGCTTGTGACTCTAAAAAGCTTAACAAGCTGATTAGGAGGGCTGGCTCTGTGCTGGGGACTGCTGTGGAGCCCCTGGAGGTGGTGATTGGGAGAAGGATGATACAGAAACTGTTGAAAAGGACAGATTTAAAAATACTTTTTTTACCTACTGCAATTGCACTTTATAACGACTCCCCTTTAAGTAAGGACAGAAGACATTTACATTTTTAAACTTTAGCCTGAGTTGCATATATCATATATCAAAATGTATTGTGGGCTCATGTTTTATGTATGGGTGGGATATGTATGTATATATGTGTTGTGTGTTTGTATGCTGGCTGCTGGAACACCTAAATTTCCCTGCTGGGATGAATAAAGTATATCTCATCTTATCTTATCTTATAGCCCGTACTGAATTAGGAAAAAGGGCGTTCAAGTATGCTTCTCCCTCTTCTCGGAATCGGTTGCAAGATACTTTAAATCTTGAGGAGCTGGTTTCCTTGAATGTTTTTAAAGGTCGTCTTAATGATCTGGAGGCAGAAATATCTGACTGTAGAGGTTTTAGCTAACTCGTATTGAACCTTTTTGATGGCTTTGTTGCTGATGACTTCTGACAGATTCTGATGAATGGTTCTTATTGTGATTCCTGTATTTATGTTCATTGTTGTCTCCATTGGCAGTTGTTCTTAATTAAAACGTCACCTTATCAATGATCATCATATGTGACCGTATCAGAAACAAATAGCAAACAGAATAATCACGCTAGCTACTGAACGTAGCATATTGAAGTTGGTGGAGACCAAAACAGAGGAAAAAGAGTTGTGAATGGAATTTAGCCTGGTTTAGATTTCTGCATCAAATGTATGCCTTAGCACCAAAATCGCTCTGCCAACTGGAGTTTGTTGGTGGAGTATTGCAGAGCGACGCAGACACGACATGGATGAGACCCAGAAGTATAAGCCAGACGAGTATAAAGAGTTGCTAATGTTCCTGTGTGTATGCTACATGTACAATCAGGACACTTTCTGCTAACATATTTAACATGTGAATGAATTAAGGTTTAAATATGTCTCTATGACTCGAGTTCTATAGAACATAGAAACTCAGAGGATTTGATGTATACTAACACTCTGATGTGATGCCACAAGAGCTCAGCTCCTCTGACCTGCTTTTAGCTGACAGAGGACAGCAGATGCTAACAGCTGTTAACTGAGCCACAA